GAATTCACTTTAAATCACAAACCAACTAATAATATTACCAAAACCAAACCAAAACTTACTAATAATATTGAAATGTTTTTTTTTATTTAACCTAATATTACATGGGCAGGGAAGAGAAGAGTAGAAGAGTATAGTCCGACTGCGAGTACGAGCCGGAATTGCAGCTAGAATGCGATACCCATTTTGGTGCTAAATTAAAAAATTATATTTATTTTAATTAAAATTTTTATGAAGTACACTTAATTATAATGAAAAGATAATTAACGAATACTTAAAATAAATTATTATATAATTAATAATAGTAAATTTAGTGATGGGTATTTTCAAATATTTTAAACTATCTAATAACTATTCAAATTGTGTTTATACAATTGAATAGTTTATTTTTAGCATAAACTATTCAAATATATTGTGTAACTATCGAATTGTTCGATAGTTACTATTAGATATTTTCCATCACTAATAAAAATGCATTTATACAAATCTAATGTAATAACTATAAGAAATTCTTTAGTTGTGACAAATCATCTATTTTAAGTAAAATAGTATGTAATAAGTAACTCAATTAAGTAATAAAGAAATAAATGTAGAAGGTCCTGATACTTCTTGCACATATAGGAGAATTAAATTTCATATAAAAGGACATAAAAACTGTCAATCTGACTCACTGCTTTGTTATTCACTAAAATTCATACTAGATTTCATACAGAAAATTGACGTATATTTATTTTTCAACCTTACTTCTAACATAATTAAGGTAAATTCATATTTCACAAAAGATTTATAAGGTTTTAAGTTAAGTATAATCAGTACATAAATTAAGTAGGGAGCCAGAAAAATTAAGTGATCTCTAGTATAAAATATTGTTTAAATAATTAAAGAAAATCAATTATGTTTGTACGAAGTGAGCCAGCCTAGTCCAATCTTTGAGTGGGTTACTTGTGTAGTCAATACTAATGAAGACTCTTTTGCGAAGATAGAAAACCCACTTGTAGTTTCTATACTATTCGAAGTGTTTTTGATACGACTCACAGTTAACACAAGCTTAGATAACTACTGCTACGAGTGGCGATGTTGATAATTTATGTGTGATAATTAATGACAATAATTTCTATTTCAAATTATTATTATTGTAATAAATTTTCAAACTTTGAAAATTTACTATTTTACACTTTGCTTTTCTTATTTTACATCTTCTCATGAAACCCTCGTACTCATATCCCGAGAGAAAATTATATTATATCATTTTATTCAATAAATATTGTAGTAACTCAATTATTCTCATGCTCATACAAGAACAACAAATAACTAATTTTAATAAATCATTTTAGTCACAATTAATTTTTTAAAATTTTCTGTTTTTTGAGTTACTATAATAACTTACAAAATAAATATAATTTAAACAGGTTATTTTTTTGGTTACCTTTAGTTAAACATTATTCTTAAATCGATAACTATGTAATACTTTTTAAGTTCATACATTATACCATGTAAGGGTGTCAGCTTTATTTTTAACACGCTTATATCAGTTTCACCTGTACGAATGTTTGTTTGTAACACTCCACGCGCCACATGTTATTATCCTTGCGTACCTCGTTGTCTATGGCCTTGAGACTAGACGTCGTAACGCATTCACCCCACCCCGTCCACCATACGCCAACAACACTGTTCCTGTATAATTTTATACATATAAACAAATTTTTATTGTTTATTATTAAATATAAACATTTAAAGATTCAAATGTTGTTGAGTTAATATACATGTATAATACATAAGGGATTACAAATACAGGTAGCTAATTAGTTTTTTATGACGATATTAGCAGGTACATAGCCTTTATTATCAATGGTCATAAGACACATTGCTGTGAGTTAATAAACACACTAATTGGAAATTATATCTAATGATAGTCATAATTGACAATAAACACTCCGTGACTGTGACAGCGATGTCATAAAAAACTAAAAAGAGAAAAATAAATATAGTTAAAAAAAAAACTAAAAAAAACACGCTTTTAAAGCACGTTGAACTAAAAAGTTAAAAATAATTTTTAAAATAAGCTTAACACAATAATGAACGAATAATACTAATATTGTTGTGAAAAAAAGTGTGGGTGCTTTGTGCCATATTGTTAGTATACTGAGCACCCGACGCTTTTTTCACAATAAAACGAGTATTTTTCGTTCATTTTTGTTTTAAGCTTATTTTAAAAATAATTGGCTAACCATTGTAAGCACGCGCTTCGCACTCTTCGATTTCAGACAGTCGTTGTTGCAAAGCCGCGTTATTTTGAGTCATGTTACGGTTCGGACAGACGCGCGTAATCAGTACGAATTGTTTCAACTGTTCTCGCGTCAGCTGTGCGGTGGTGAACAGATGCCGTATGGTCTCGTCGTTCGTGTCGCAGCTTACAAAAGTTTTTGAGAGGGACCGAATTTACTGTGTAATGCGAGTTACGCGCTTATGCGTTTGCGTATGAACGTCAATAATGCGGCCCGTTTGTATTATTATTGTTATTGCTGAGATAGTTTTATAGTATGACACTGAAATGTGCATGGGTATGAAATTTCTACGATAGAAATCTTAATCTTTTTGATCGCGAAGGTCAGAATTGATAATATAAACGGTTTTATGGGACTTGGTTGTTTTTATGCTACATCGAATGCGCTGGTATGGAATGTATTGAACGCTACCTGTCTATTGCATATAATAATTATATTATAATTTATAATTACAATCTAAAACCGGGTAGGGAATTCACTGCTGTCACCAGCGAACACTGCGCTCAAAATAACTCGTAGCACAGGGGCGGTTAAGAAAACCTAGCTGTCTCCTATATGAAAATAAAATAATAATCAAGTTAGCAAATGATTTTCTTACCTCAGTTCAAGTTAAACCGGTTGCGGTCCTTACCGGGGAGCCAGTTGTTATAGGCGAACTGGTAATGAACAAAAGGTAGTCAACACAATTAATTACAAACCAATCAGTGTGGAGCTGTTTATTCGAACAAGAACAAGATAAAACAACAATTGCAAATAATGTTGCACAGTAGTTAGGGATTAAAAGAATTGCATATCATAAATAAGCAAATGAAATGGTGAGAGGAGTTTAGCGTTTTAACACGACGCGTGTTGGACAGTGTCACGAAGATGACTTTAATGTATATTTGCGATGGGTCGTCGTCGGACGTACAGCCCTTGCTGGACTTTGTATCGTGGCGTATCATTCGCAGTGCTAGTCAATCAAACTACTATAGACACATAGTAGGGCGACGGCTGATAAAAAGGTGTAACGGGTGGCGAGGCTCAATGTAAAACTGGGTTCCCATTACTCGTATATTTGCCGAAAATAAGGCGAATAACAAATATTCGTCTACTCGTACCAGTACACAAATATTACCGTTCCGACTACTCGTCTATTTGTAAAATTATTTTATGTTTTTATTGTTATTGAATACTCGATACAAAAAGACTTATTCATTTTTTAAAAGTTTGTAAGCTCTAATATTTCTAATATAAGTTGACACTTTTATAAGATATAAAGGAGGGACCTAAAAATTATTTTGTAACAGGTATATAGAAATACATGTGAAATTAACAAAATAAAAAAAAATATTTTCAAAAAACTCATTATTTTAAGGGTAATTGATTGATTAGTGTTAAAAAATCACTTTGTACAACAATCTGATACAATTGAAAATGTATTGAATTGGTTAATTAAATAAAACAATTTATTTAAATAAATAAAGTATTGATTTGGAATGAGTATTTGTTAAAATAAAAATCATAGCCTAGTAGACCGTTCCCACCTATCGCGAATTAGGACAAATATTTAAAATCCCTTTGATTCGTGTCACAAATACCGTCGGGAAGATGACGAATAACGAATGCCGTACACCATTCCCACTGCTTGATGAATATAGACGAATAACGAATATTTGGCAAATAAACGAGTAATGGGAACACGGTTCAACGCGAAGCGATGCAGAACCGTGTCGACTTGTCTCAACTGTGCCACATCCCTACTATGTTGCGTACTCTCTGTACTTATTAAAACTGTAGTTTTTCTTAATTTATTTCTAAATATAACTTTAGGTCAAATTTATTAAAACATAACATCACATAAATAAATAAATTTTTAATATTTTTTAATTAAATATATAAAAATTTACAAAGCTGTTTCATGAAAATATATTTATATAATTATTTTTGAATTTCACACAAACGGTTTTCCTGGTATTTAAAAAAAAAATGCTCAAGATGAATTTAAGGTGAAAATTTATTTATGATCTATTAAAATTTTGAAATCACAAAATTTCGGTATATTGTAAAATTACTCCTGAAATCTATAAATAGTATGATTCTTTTAATATTAGTCAGTCAATATTTCTTTAAATAATAATTATTTTGTAAATTTCTTTTTTAGATTTTTTTAGTTACATAGAATTCTACATTTACTTATTATTAGGTCTATTCATTATGCCTCATAAGGGTATCAACTTTGTTTTTTCAATTGTAAACTTCTATTTTTAGTTTGATCATTGATAGTGTTATTAGTAAATTTATTCATCTTCTTGTTATACTACTTAAAAATTTCTATTTTCAATATTATATTAATGTACAAAATAAGCGGAACTATAAATACAGGTCGCTAATTGTAATACTACAATATATCTAATTTTGGCAGATCTTTATTGTGGGGTTTATATTTATACGTGTATAAAATAAGGGACACATTAAATACAGACAGCTAATTGTAGCATTTATGATGTTCTACTTATAGATAAACGTACATTATTACTTAATTGTTAGAAAAGGTAAATGTATGGTGATTTTCAAAAATCATATTTTACGTAAAAATGTAAAAACGGATTTTACTCTATTTTGTACAATATAAGACAGTTTCATTTTCATATCAAATTATTATGTAAATAATACATTGATAGGAAATAAATGAATGGAAGTACTAGGATTTTATTTTATCAATTATTTAAACACGTATTTATGTAATAAAACATTATTTGTATTTATTGTAAACTCTTCTATTTTAATGATGCATCCATGATTTTTGTTAATACTAAATGTGTAATTTCAACCAGCCACCAAAATAAAAAACCACAATCTTTGCGAAAACAAACTAGTTTTTTCATAAAACTTAAGGTCAAATTTATTTAATATCATATAAAATGAAAAAAATGTTTAATATTTTTCAATTAAATATCTAAAAATTTACAAAGTTTTTTCATAAAGATATTCATCAACAAGAGGAACACCAGCAGTTGTTGCATTATCAATTCCACATTCATTAGTACCTCTTCGAATTTTGAATGATCCATTGTCTCCCCAATTAGTGTTCCATGAGTTAAGTAACAACCAGTAAGGAACATCATTTTCCACGCCCCAACCGATCAATTTAACTGCATGACCACCTAAGTAAGTGGCATTTTCTGATTTAATGTAAACACCTATGTGAACAAATAAATAAAATTATATTTTAATACAAATATAAATTTATTTATCCATACTTATAAACATTTACCTTTTTTATAACTCAAAAAATCATCATAAACATGAAAGGACGCTTCTATTGGGCCATACGTTAGAACATCTTTTTGAATTGTTTTGGGATCAAGAAAGTAAAAATCTTTGGCTAAAAATGAATTTTAAAAACATAAAAAAAGTAGTCTAAATATATTTTTAAAGTTTCCAAGCATATTTTTTGTGATCCATCTATAGCTTTGTTCCAAAACTGATAAGGTATTGATTTTACCATGATGTGCATGTAGTATTTTTTGTATCCGTCACTATTGAACGGATTTTACTAAATTAAACGTTTAAATATCTGAAATATTTTATTGAACACATTATACTCAAAAATTTAAAAATATTTCTCGATTATTTTATTACCAAAAATAGTGGGGTCGTGGCATAGTGGAGACAAATACATGTAAAATCTGACAATGATTTAAACCATTATCAGGTATTAATCAATGTGTAATTTGGTTATGTGTTTAAAGAGCTTTAATTTATTATAAAATNTGGGGTCGTGGCATAGTGGAGACAAATACATGTAAAATCTGACAATGATTTAAACCATTATCAGGTATTAATCAATGTGTAATTTGGTAATGTGTTTAAAGAGCTTTAATTTATTATAAAATAAAAAAATTACAGTTGTTCAGTAAAATTTTCAAAAATCAAATTGAAAAAAATTGTGATATGCATGGGAATTCTTTCCAAACCCTTCCTGTACTTAGCTTTTTTGAGTTTTCTCAAAAAGCATTAGAATTTTTATTCTCTATTTTGATTACGTTTTCATTATGATCAGAATTTTTATAAAAAATGTGTAGTAGTTTTAAAATACTAAAAAAATTGTAGAAAATACCACTTTTATGATACAACATAACATAATTTTGAGGTATTATTCTAGGTATCTAAAATTGAGGGATTATTTTCCAATTTTCGATGACGATCAGTTCAACTAGAAATCGTATGCCTTAGACGTCTTTATCATTAATATTGGTCTATTAAGAGTTGATAATTTTCATAAACAGACATAAAAAATCACATGATGATAAAACCAATTTATCCTCAGTTTAGCATCAAAGTTGAAATAATATCAAATTAATTTTTTTCATTTATCTTTAAAAAATATGCATTTAAAACAAACATGCAATATGATAACAAAATATAAGTTAACAATGGAAAATTTTCGCCAAACAAATTTGGTTAATTAGTGTCACAAAATATGTATCACTAACAGTTACGCACGTAGAACATGCATATTTAAAATACATTAATCGTGTAATTGAGATCAATAAACGTTTTATACCAATACATTATCAATTTTAATTGTTTAATATTTAAACATTTAATATAGGACAGCTGTTGTGAGCGTAAATCATATGAGAGATTATGTTTTGGAATAAGTTTAGGATTAGAGTGGTCGATCTTAAGCAATTGGGATTAAAGCGAGGAAAAAGAAGAAGATTAAATCATTTTTACAAAAAGTATATTAACTTTAGAAGTAAAATTAAGGGCATTGAAAGTCTTAATAGTATCAAGTATTTTTCAATTAAAGGGATCTATTGCTAAAAATTGAATGACATTATTAAATGTTTTAACCTAAAATGATATTTTAGTACTGCTAATGGCATAGGAACTAGTATTCTAAGCTCCTTTTGGATATACTTTTTCTTTTGGAAAAGTTTTATTACAGTAATTTTAATCACTGTCAGATTTTAATCAATCCATATTGACTTAATTATTATTAACTTATTTTATTATGGGAATACTTAGTTAAGAAAAGCCATATAAATAATGTAAATATTAAATGAAAAAAAAATTGGCTTAGGAAACATATTCTTAATTTATCCAAGAAAAAGGAAATATTTTTATATTTAATATTTGATTTTATGTATTACTATATCTGTGATCTTCCTTGTAATCAAGTTTTGTGTCGCCATAACATTCTCTACGACAACTATGGTTCTCTTCTACTGAATGGCTCTTACAGGAACCCTCAATTTCGGGTGGCTCATCATGAAGACAAGGCGCAATTTGATAAGGCTGGCATCCCTAGAAGGAAAATTATTAATAAATTACTTTCAAGTATTCTATCGAAATTTATTACTACATATGCAATTTGATTACAACAGTGAAGGTAATAACATGGCAAAGTAATAAAACAAATTTTTTTCAAGATAATGATAAACTATAATGTGATTAAAAGAACAGTTATGATATAATTTTGTTTTTTGGCTAGAACATATATTGGTTATTCTTTAGTTTTATAGTACATAAGAGTGTTGTAGCGTAGTTTATCATTCAGTCGCCATCTTAGCGCTGATGTTTAGTTTCTCGGTTAGTTTCCTGATGGTCACAGGAATTTTATCGGTGTCACACGTATTACCTCCTTACTGATTTCTTCATCCATAATAAGACTGCGTTTGAGCCAGTGTACAAATCCTGTCAAATAATTTTAAGGAAGAGCGGTTCCCAAATAAGCGGAATAGAGGCTAAAGAGATTATGATTGTTTTATATTACAAAAATAAAAGGAAAATATAATATAATAAACAATTTAAATTTTGTCAGATATAGAAAAAAATAAGTTTTTTATTTTTTTTTATGAGAATAAATAATTTAATGATAATAAGTATAATTCTAAATTTTCTTTGACTGACTATGATTTTATGAATGTGCGATAATTCTAGTGACTACTTGCTGGATCACAACAATCAAACTTTATTCAGTTAAAATTGTGTAATGTATAAAGTATAAACTTAAATATTTTTTACCAAAGATTAAATACTAATCTTACTTAATATTCTATTCTATAATTATGTTATGAGTAAATAATAAATTAAAATTTTATTTATCAAAGATTAAATATTAATNTCCGAAAATGTATTTCATATTTAAATATTATTTAAATTTTAGTAATTCCTATTTACTTAAGAATCATTAAATGTTTAAGCGTTTAATAACTCAGATACATAAAATTTGGATCACGGAATAAGTTAAAATTTTTTTTTTGTTTCCTTTAGGTTAACTGCTAATTTAGTATATGTTTATTTAAATATAAAGCTGAAATTTTCTGTTTTATTACTGAACATTTTTTTTATTAATATTTATATTTTTATTATTTATTAATCAATAGAAAATATTATGAGGATTCAAAAAATACTAAAATATTGCTAATTGCGAAACTTTTAGTAAAACCAATACCATCTCAGTTTTACATCGAAGATAAAATAATTTAGTACCAAATTAAAATTAAAATTACCTCACTACTATTATAAGCACCTCCAGTAACAATTCCGTGCCATCTAAAATGTTTCCAAGCTGTGATAGGAAAACCGCCGTAACAGCCTAAACCACAATTTTTACAACAAAATGCTAATTCTTCAGCTGACAGCATTTCGTTGAATTCATAGTTTGTAGCAATACATAGTCTGTCTGAAAAAGCACTAGTGGTACTTAATGCCTACAATAGATTTATTATTGAATTTATTTTATTTTGAGATATAATAATATTGATACAAACCCAACAAGATCCACAATTTCCTTGATCACGAATTGTTCCAATGCTTTTACATTGTTTCCACTTCTTTCGAGCATCAAACTCTTTTGGAATATGGTGGCAACTACTGTACTTAGGATCGTGTGACTTAACCGGTTCATTCTTCTTTGGTCCTCCTNTGTGACTTAACCGGTTCATTCTCCTTTGGTCCTCCTACTCCTCTAGATCCTAACAAACGTTTAAAATATTCCAGTGGAGTATCTGGATGGAAATTTTGACCAGCCTGTAATTAATTTTTCTTATACTATATTAATTTAATAAATGCTCAACATTTATGATTAGTTAACTTTAACGTTTTCGACCGTATAAGCGAATCAATCGATTAATTATAATTCATGTTCACTTAAATTAGTAAAATCAAATTTTAATAGAAAAATGTTGTAAAATGTTTATTAAAGTATAATTAATTTTAATAAATTTATGAAATGATAAAAAACATAATACCTGCCATGTAATTGTTTTACTATTGATTTTGTTTATGTATTCAGGTTGAAGAAAATATACTTGCTCAGTCAAGTAGATACATAAGAGAATCGTGCCTGATAATATTATAAATTTAATCATTTTAAAAAAAAAAGACTAGAATAAAATATAAATATGTACGACTTAATTTGAACTCTGTCAATCATATACTACAATTTTTATTTATATTAATTATTGGAAATATTTAATGGATTGAAATGTCAAAAAATAATAATCTTTAACCAATAAAAAATTCCCGTTGATTATACTTATTAATAAAAATTTGAAGTATATCAAACATTATATCATATACATAATCAAAGTGTTATACTTGTATAGCACTATAGGTGTATATGAAAATTAGCAATTAAGTTGACAAATATATAAATATTAGCACACAAAAAATATCTGTTACCAATGCCAAATGATTATCTCAAAATTTTTTGACTCATAATCATATAAAGTACTTATAACTATACATCTTAGATACTTAATAGCAATAATAAAATTGATAACAGGAAAAATATCAATTTGATTGCTTCATATTAAAGTGTAATATTGTATTATTAATAATTGATCATTTTTACATGTTTCTGTTTCCCGAACTTAAATTTATACAGAGAATAGTGACTCTTTTTTTACATGTTAGGAAGTCACACAAAAATATCCGTTATTAATTGATGGCACGGCATTTAAGATTTAAATTAATAAACAAATGGCATGACATTTATTAACATATAACAATAAGCTACATATATAATTTAATTGTTTAAAAATATACCAATGTAAATTTGTATATAAAAGAAACAGGAAATAATAAACAATATTTCATAGTAATGTGTTAGATATAAGGTAATAAATAATGTGTAAGATATTATGGAACAAACGGTAAAACATTAAATGATGATAAATATATACGAAAGTGTAATTATTAATATGCGATAAATTACTACAAAACAATTAATAAAGAAATAATGAGAGCGTCACGTATTGCCTTTGAAAATACCATCAAACTAAATATAAAAAGCACAAACTAATGAGCTTACTGTCTTAAATGTTACGCTGATGGTGAGAATGCTTTCACCTGGTCAGTCGTGATCAGATGTGGCCAGTCATTCTAAAAGGTACAGGCAGAAAATGATCCACTACATTCACATTATAATTACATAAGAAGATAGAAAGTCTAATTATTTCAAAATATTTATTGGAAATATCAAGATAGGAAAGTAATAATTTCACCAAAAAAATATATATGGTTTAAAATTATATTTTATGAATATATAGATTAAGTAGGCTCGAAGAAAAATCAAGTGATCATCAGTCATAAAAAATATACCATGTAAATTTAATAAATTAATAATGTTTGTACGAAGTTAATTGGCAGAGTTATATCATTTATACGTGTCTATTTCGGTCATTAAGTAAGAGGTTCATATATAGTCATTTTTAGCTTCGATGCGAAGCTGAGAAGGTATTAATTTTACCATGATGTGTTTATTTTTTTATTATTTTTTTTTTTTGTATCTTGTATAATTTTTCTGATAAATGTACTGTAATTAGTAATTATAAAATTTCCAGATTGCATATTAATCTTAAAAATTTCATTTTTTTCAATTTAATAATGTCAATTTCAAACTTGCAAGTTGAACTATAAGTTATGGTAACAAATTCATTTTTTAGCTTCGATGCGAAGTTGAGAAGGTATTTTTCATTAAAACTTTCACTTTAAAAGACAATAAAAAATAGGTTCAAAATGATTACCTTTAACATATTAAAAATCAAAATCAGTATTAATTTAATACAATTTTTTTTGTTCTTAATTATTTTTTTTTATATGTAAATACTTATTTTTTAATAATAAGTAATAATATTAAAACTTAGAAGTAATAGAAAAAGT